TATTAAATGGATTTTTGGAACAGGGAGATGGAATAGGAGCTTGCTCCATCCACTCCACGCATCGACCTGGTATTGCAGTACCTCCAGGAACGGTGCACCTCCCCTTGGGGAGACTATTCTGGTTGAAAAATAGAATGAATTTAACTCTCTGCTTCTGCCCAAAGCTGGGAACGTCGGGAATGGCCCTCAGCCGTCATGCCGAGAGGCACAAGAAGGGCCGCAGCACATCGGCACCAGGACTGGCCCTTCCAAGGGAACCGGCACCATTGACCTCCATGGTGGAGACTCGGCTCCGGCTTCGGCGCCGGAAGAACAAGACGTACCAACGGCATCGCCAAAGTCGGCACCGCCAGTGTCGGCACCGCTCACCGATGAGCCCGACGGCATCAGACTCACCTGTGTAACAGCACCGGCAGCGCATCCGGCAGCAGACATGGCGCCATCTCATCGGCTGTCCTCTCCAGCAGCAGCAAAAGCAGGGCACCGGTCTAGGAGACGGGTTACCTTGAGAATGGGCCCTAGCTCCCTGGGGATAGAGGCCTTGCCTGAATCCCACGGAGCAGCCTCTGTCTGTGTTGAGCCTAGGCCCGCCACGTACAAAGGTGGCTCTGAGGCAGCAGCCTCTGCCCTCCCGTCCCAGCGCTGCTGCTTCTGATACAGAGGCAGCAGCATGGGTGGCGGAGGGGGGGAAAGAAACTCTTCCAGAAGAAGCCCTGTTTTCCGACACTAGACTGTAAATTTACTTGTGCAAGAACGCACGTGCAGTGTAGACACGTGGCAAGTTTTTGCGCAAGAACAGCTGTTCTAGTGCAAGAAGCTGCCAGTGTAGATGTAGCTTCATTGTACGAGAATTGAGGGAAGTTGGAGGAACACTGCTTCATTTTGAAATAAGTGCTGTGTAGACATTCCCAATTTTGAAATAAGATATGCAATTGACGAAGCTCACTGTGTGTAGCTTATTTTGAGTTGAGCCCTGCTGTGGAGACGCATCCTAACAGGGATCAAGAAAGAGCTGGATAAATTCATGGGGTTAGGTCCTTCAATACTTATTAGCCAGGATGGGCAGAGATGGTGACCCTGGACTCTGTTTGCCAGGGGCTGGAAATGGGCGATGGGGAGGGATCACATGATGATTCCACGTTATGTTCACTCCCTCTGGGGGTGTCGCTTTCTTCACTGTGGAACTCTGGGCTGGATGGACCATTGGTCCAACTCCATATGGCCGATCTTATGTTGTTATGCTCAGAGCCACTTCCCTGCCTTGCCCAGGGGCCCCTCTGTGTGCTGCTCAGATTGTTTTAAATATTTTAAAAACAAAGTTTGAATGACAGAAAGAGGATTTAAATGAATCTACTATGCAGGGACATTTTGTCTAAGACGTTATAATGGAAATCTGCTTTCTACATAATGCAACAGACGTATTTCTTCACACAACACACAGTCAACCTGTGGAACTCCTTGCCACAGGATGTTGTGAAGACCAGGACTGTACCAGGGTTCAAAAAAGAACTAGATAAATTCATGAAGGATAGGTCCATCAGTGCTTATTAGCCAGGATGGACCTATCAGTCTGTGTGTGTGGGGGGCTGGGAATGGGAGACAGGGGAGGGGTCACTGGATGTTCCCTCCCCCTGGGGCACCTGGCACTGGCCACTGTTGGAAAACAGGATACTGGGCTAGATGAACCTCTGTTCTGACCCTGTTCTTATATTCTAGAATGAATGTGGGTGGTATGGTGATAAATGAGTAGTAAGCCTGCCTGATGCTTCCTCATATCTTGAAAACACAAAGCAACTCTTTGAAGTCCTTTTAACTTTTTCTATTGAACAAATCTTAAGGCAGCATAGACACAAACCACTGATGGTAATTACAGTGAGATAAACAAGCTGAAATAGAGTCACTATTTATTCATCCCTGCACAGATAATGGTCAGGATTCGTTAACAAAAAACAATTTTCCAAACTATCTCAAGGTCAGTATTAACCCAGCAGGACAATAAACTGTGATATTGACCCAAACCTGAATTCAGTACAGGGAAAATCTAGCCCCTATCACATGGAGAGGAATTGTGCTGCCCAAGTAGTATGGTTCCACTGTTCAAAGGGGTAGACTGGAGATAGAGGGATGCTGTGAAGAGGGAGGAAGTGGGGCCTACATAGACTTGGGCAAGAGAAGAGAAAGTGCAGAAGAATCCACTACTATGTGGATCCTTCTTTTATTCCCACCACTGGCCATTCTGAAAAGAGATTTTTCTCTCCTACTTTGTATATCTGAAATAACTTCTTGACTCTGGTGCTGGGCTCAGTATTTTAACCTATACAAAAGATTCCATATGTATTATTAGAAAAAAATAAGCAACTGTGACATTTCAAGCTGAATTCTGAGGCACTTGAAAGCAATGGTAAAAACTGTGCTGATGAGAACAGAGTGCATTCTGTTCCATCATAGTGGTTTATTTGTATGTTATCTGTAGGTTAATCTAGTAATTTAAAAAAACAACTGATATCAAAGGTGACTTTGACATCACATTAAATGGACAAAAGGCCAAGGAACAAATTCAACTGTTGCTCTGACCAGTATAAATCTGGAGTAACCTTACTGGGCTTGATTCAGCCTTAATAGATGAAAATCCCTGTGCCCTGGGTAGTTCCATTTGCCCCATGGAAGGTCTGAAGTGTTAGCACTGATGCTCCCTCCTTAGGTTCTGGTTGGAGAGAATAGGTTTAAAGTATCACTGGGTACTGTCTATGATCTGCCGATGGAAACAATGCATTACCAGTCATTTAGTCATTTCCTTTCATTGTCAGCATCCCCCTACATTCAATGCAGTTCCAGCACCAGCCCTGCATTGGAATGGGCAACATGGCATCTATGCTGCTTTGGCATCCTCTCTTGTCTCGATAGGTTTTCCATATCTTGGGTCCACAATCTGCAGTTTGCTAGCAGAAATGCAAGAGTAAATCTCCTTGACCTAAGTGTTAAAAATTTGTACCACGGTAAACTGGAATACAATTTGGCTCTGGTTCTTTGTCATGTAGGTTTCAGATTTTTTATGTCAGAGGTGAACAGTTGCTAATGCTAGCTATAGATCTCTGCTCTAAAACAAATAAGTGAAATCCAAGTTTGAATATTAAAAGTTGCTGATGGCTGTCTGCCGAAGTCAATAAAACTTTTGTGTATAAGAACTGCCGTGCGTTATGTAGTCTTTCAAAAGTAGAAGTCATCAACAGGTTGAAAGAAAGAAAGAAAGAAAGAAAGAAAGAAAGAAAGAAAGAAAGAAAGAAAGAAAGAAAGAAAGAAAGAAAGAAAGAAAGAAAGAAAGAACTTCCCCTCAGATTTCAAAAACAAAAGGAAGATCAGTTGTGGCTATCTGCATCAAATGTGACGGTAATTTGCAGAGAAGTGCAGGATCATGAGTGTCTTAATTTGGAATGGCATCTGAATTTGCAGAAGGAAAAAAAAGATTATACAGCAGAGATCAAGCAATTAATCTCAAATATTTGATCTGCCTCATGGACATTGTGTAGAATACAAAATACTTGCTTTAGTTTCAGCCCATTGACAAATTTGCTGTTCCAGTATAATTAGTTTGAGAAAACTCAGGATACATTATTAAATGATTAGATGACCTTTAATCTAAGTAGGTATTTTAGCACACTGCAAACCAGCAAGGCAAAAGAGTTATATTTCTAGAGAAAAAAAGTCAGTCTACTTTTTATAAGTAGTTGGCTGGTAAATAGTACTGAAAAAATTCAGGCATCCGCACAAGCACTGAGGGTATGTCTACACTACAAAGTTAGTTCGAACTAACGGACGTTAGTTCGAACTAACTTTAATAGGTGCTACACTAGCGCTCCGCTAGTTCGAATTTGAATCGAACTAGCGGAGCGCTTAGTTCGAACTAGGTAAACCTCATTTTACGAGGACTAACGCCTAGTTCGAACTAGCTAGTTCGAACTAAGGGCTGTGTAGCCCTTTAGTTCGAACTAGTGGGAGGCTAAGGCTTCCCAGGTTTCCCTGGTGGCCACTCTGGCCAACACCAGGGAAACTCTATGCCCCCCTCCCGGCCCCGGACCCCTTAAAGGGGCACGGGCTGGCTACGGTGCCCGTGCCAGGTGCAAGCCTGCCAGCACCCAGCTAGCAGACCCTGCACCTGGCACGGCACAGAGCCACCCACCCGATGCCAGCAGGAGCCAGGGCTGTGGGAAGGGATGGAGGGGGGGTGGGGCATTGGGGAAGGGGTTTGCTCTGGTCCCCATGTTGCCCTAGGGACAGCCCTGCCTGCCTCCCAGTGAGGATAAATACTCAGAGACGGTCGCTGGGAGCAGGTCCCATCCCACAAACACCCCCCTGGAGACCACAGCCTGGGGGGACCCAACCCAGCACAGAAGCAAATCCGACCCCTCGCCCCCCAGCAATGGCAGCAGGGAGGGACATTTAAAAAGGGACAAATCAGACGTGTCTTTTCTGCTCCCCCTTTTTTTAATACTATAAAAGCCCGTCAGAGTGGAAATGAGCGGAGAAGCAGCTTTAATACCCAGGCCAATGGCAGAGAGGCCCACGGGTTTGGGGAGCAGTTTATGTTTTAATGACACTGACATGGCAACCAGGTCAAGGTAGAAACCTGAAATGAGTGAGCGGCCTCTCCCCTTCCGTCAGGACTGGGACATTTCTCTGCCCCTTTGAGCTGCCTTCACTTCAGCCTCGACTTCTGCCCGTTTCATTTCCAGGTGCCCTGTTCCGTCCCTGTTTATTCCTGGGTGTCTCTTCTGCTCTCCCCCGATTCCTCTCACAGACCCACCCCCTCACGTTCTCCCTTCTTTCCTCTGTGTTTATACCCTCCCCTCCCGTAGCTGCTGGCAGTTTTCTCCCCCAGGAGTGTTTCTTTCATTGTTTTTATATCCAGTTTTACACTTTTCTTAGGACACTCTGTCTGTTTTGCTTTACTTGAACTTGTCCTTTTGTTTTCTCTGTTATCTCAGGTTCAGCTCCTCCTGCCCTGTCCTCCTGCCCCCGCATTTTGTAGCCTGTCCTCAGTCCAAATTTAGTTGTCCCCTGCCCAGCCCCCCATTGGCTCCTCCTGCAGCCCCAGGCATTCTCCCCCCTTCCTGTCCCATCCCTGGGGCTGCAGGAAAAGAAAGGGGGGAGTCCGGGGTTATAGAGATGAGGGTGGGGAGCCCTCCAGGGTCATAGAGACTGGACAGGCTGATTTAAAGGTCCCCACTGGGACGTCCCTCTCCACCCCCATGTCTCAGGGACTCAGGCTGAGCTGGGATCCTGACCCCACCCAGAGCCAGGGTCGGATTCCAGAGAGGGAGCCCGGCGGGAAAGTGAAGATCGAGGCCTCGGTTCCAGCATCAGTAAATGTCACCTGCCCCCCATCACAGTCCAGGCAAACCCGGATCCTGCTGGGGGGGCTCAGGGATAAGGGGGTGTGAGGGTCAGTAAGAGCCCAGAACTCATCCCCCCACCGCCGCACAGCCCAGATCCCGTCCTTGGGGTTTGGGGTGCTCAATCCCTTCCTTCTTACAGACTCTCTGGCCACCCCCACAGCCCAATATTGCCCATCCCCCACCTCCACCTCCACCTCCCAGTAATGTCTCCCCGAGATGAAGCCCTTGCGGCCCAGCACACAGAACCAATTGTCAAATCTCTCCGGGGTGTTGGGCAGTGGCTGCTGTGTGCATCTCCATCTCACACGTTTCCCATCCTCCGACAGGATGAGCCAGGGATGCGCCATGTCTGCTTCCAGAGTCACGTTGGCTGGGGGAGAATCAGAGCGTGAGGGGCAGAGCTCGGCCCTGGGGAGGTCCGCCGTGGCTGGATCCAGCGTCACGTTGGCTGGGGAGAGAGAATCAGAGCGTGAGGGGCAGAGCTCGGCAGGGGGCAGAGGGGGGGGGGTCGATGGCGACACTCTGAGGTCTCAGCCCAGTGCTGGATGGAGTCACTCACCAGCAGACAGGGACGTGGCAGAGCAAAAAGTCAAGCCTGAGACACGGAATGTCTCCCTCTGAAGGGTATTAAAGACCTTGAAATTTCAGGAAGCCCCAGCGACTTCCACTCACATTATTCACAATTATCTTTTCCCTGATGCACCCTCCCTGCATTCTAAACTCTGAGGTCTCAGCCCAGTGCTGGATGGAGTCACTCACCAGCAGACAGGGACGTGGCAGAGCAAAAAGTCAAGCCTGAGACACGGAATGTCTCCCTCTGAAGGGTATTAAAGACCTTGAAATTTCAGGAAGCCCCAGCGACTTCCACTCACATTATTCACAATTATCTTTTCCCTGATGCACCCTCCCTGCATTCTAAAATCTTGATGCTTGGACACCCGTTGTCTGGCGTGGGGGCCAGCACCATAACCCATGACAAAATTAAACAAATCCCCAATTAAAGTTCTGTCGCTCTTCATCTGGGCCAGCCAAAGAGAATTATCGCCCCCGATTTCAGAGTCTGAAGTTGGGATGTTGGTTTACAAGCACAGAGCTCTCAGAGCTGAAGGAGGGGTGTGGAGGAGGAAGGGGAAAGAGAGTTAGGAAGTGAGTCCATGAAGGAGAGAGTGGAAAATATGAATTAAAACAGCAGGAAGTTGGTGTTGGACAGAGAGAGGGAAAAGAGAGGAGAAAAGCAGAACTTGACCGATCACAGGGGGGCCTTGGTTTGAACACTTGGCTGGTCACTCTTGTGCCTCGACCTGACAATAGGACTGGGATCAAACGGGACAATAACGGCTCAATCACTTGGAGCTGGGAACGTTTTCAGAATTAGCAGAGCGAGGTGTCAGGAGGGCGTGTTGTTGTGTTGATCCCTTCCTCTTCCTCCTCTGAACCGCAGGGCCCCTCTGTTCTTTGGCCCAGGAAATTACATTCCCCTTTCCTCGTGTTTTGTATGTTGAGAGGGAGCAGGGTCTCCCGTCGATGAAACACGCGTTGGAATTACCTGCGTCACTGAATAATCTCCTCTGCTCTGAAAGCAAAGACACATGTGAGGATGAGAAGGAAGCCTGAGAAATTCAGTAGCAACAGGGAGAGTTACTGCAGAAAGGGGTGCAGTATAGAGAAGCCAAACAGAACATGCCCTTACCTAGCTCTGTGTGAAGTTTACCTGAATGAAAAACAAAGAAAAAGGCTTCTGTAAAAGCTTCTCCTGGGTGAATTAACCTCCACTTGGCCCCCAGTCACTGATCATTTCGGCCTGTCTGCTGGGCACTGGTTAACATCGGTACCCCCTACGCACTGGGGACAGGGTAAACCCACCAGTGCAAGTCACTTTTCACCGGGGTGTGGCTGTGTTAGGGTCTGACCTGCTGCCCCCTACCCCCACTGCCTCTGCTACAGAGGCAGCAAAAGGCAGAGGTGTTGTAGGTTATCGTTAGGATTAACTGATACACCCAGGCTTATCGGTTAATTGTTTAAACGTCAGTTCTCTACGCTAACAGCCCTAGTGAAAACAGGAGGGCTGGATCCCACATGCTCATTGAAGGAAGGGTGAGGCTCTGAGGAAGAGAGACCCCTTGGAGATGGGGCAGACTCCAGGGGATGAGGCGCTTGTTTAAAAGCGAGGGAAGAGCTCCACTCCTGTGGATCCAGGGCACTTACTTCCCAGATAAACTCAAGAGTTGATGCCTCAGGAATTGGCTCTAACCTGAAACCAAGACAATGAGCAAACTCTGCTGTTTCCTGCTCAGCTCCCTCCTCCTGGAACTGCAGACTCCAAACTAACAGGAGTGCAGCCTGCTGGCCCAGGACTAAACATTTGTGCGCACATTCAAAACAAAAATAAAACAGAAAAGCAGCACCCCTGGAAGTAGCCTGCCAAACACCTCAACAATAACAGGCCATTCAGGAATGCTGTAGTCATCTTTTGAACACACTAGAATTAACCCTCACCCACCCTCTGAGGCAGGGGTCTTCATAGGGGCCAAGGGTAGTTACAAGCCACAAGCACATCCATTTTCAGTTAGAGTTGGGAACTTGACTCCCTCAGGCTCCATTTTCAGCCTAATTAAACTGGCGCAAACCTAGTTTTAGACTGATTTTAAGGGAAACAGAAACATGTTTAAACTGCACTGAATAAACTCCACCGAAATGGACGGGTTCACACAGAAGTCTGCGCTGGTTTCACAAAAATCAATTTAAATTCACACCATAAGCTGCTGTCACTTTCCAACATCAGCAAGTCTCAGTATCGTTTCGTAAGGGCAGTTCTCAATATTCTCAATTCCCATCACACTGCCTCCCCCCAGTAGAGCTTTACCTCTTAATTTGAACAGAAAAAGGGTCAGGCCGATGGACACCAAGAGAATCACCAGAGTCACACTCCAAACCACCATCCAGGGAGACGTTCTTGGGAAAAAGGAATCTAACACACAACACCCTCGTTAGATTGGAAGTAATCAACGGCATTCTTTCCTTTGGAATGACAAACTATAATGGTGTTCCAGAAGAACCGATCCCCTTTGTTGTTTCACACTGTACTAGCGTGTGGAATTACAAACTATACTTTTCTAGTCAACATCCGAAACTGCATGAACCAAAGGAGGGAAAATTTCTCCCTGAGATGTACAAACCGTCAGAAAGCAATGTTAAAAGGTGATGCTGCTCACACACTGCTGCTAGTATTAAATACTGTCTAAAACCGGGACACAGCCTGTGGGCCACCCCAGAGCACTGGGATTGCACTCTGCCACACACACACTCCCGAAGTGGCAGGGGGCACAGGGGAGTGCTGTTGCAGGGAGTGCAGTGAGGGCCCGACCACTCCTGACAATGTTGCATCCCTTGGGGGACGGGTACATTGGGGCGGGGAGAACATGGGTGGTTGGCAGATAGGGGTGATCTAAAGCTGGTGGGCAAGAGACAGTTAGCCAGATCCGGCCTGTCGCCACCTCACCAGCAGCCTCACTACACAGCGGCTCATGACACGGTAAAGAGCTGGCTGCTAATTGCTCTGGATGCTGGGGAGAGACAGGGAGCTTTGTGTGCTGTCCCCACCTCCTAGCAATATCCCTCAGTTCCCATTGGCCAATTTCCATCCAGTAGGAGCTGAGAAATATTGCTGGAGGCAGATGCAGATGCTCCCTCCCTTCCTGTGCTGGAGCAGAGCAGTAGTTGATACAAGTTGCATTGACTACACGATTAGCCAGATAACTGCAATTTAACCTCCTTACCCCAGATTACAACCCTTTCTTCACCCAAACTTCCTCTCACCCCTCCCACCTCCTCCTGCACCCGAGTTCTCTAACCCAAATTCCACCTGCCGTCCCAGGCCCCGCGCCCTCTCCACAGAAGTGCGGCCTTTGACCACTTACCAAAATCTTGGAGAGGCCCCTCTCAGCAAAAATCATTGCCCATCCCCAAGCTAAAGTAGTACCAGCCTCTCCCTTTCCCCCTCCCCCTCCTCCTCCCCAGCATAGATATGTAGGCCTGGCCACACCCTCTGTTATTAAGGTGGCTCTACCCCTCCCATTACATGGTCTTCAATTGCTCATGACTTTGCCAAACTTTACTCATCTGGGCAGAAAAATTCCATGCTGGGCGGCTGCCCCAGACTGACTTTTAGTGACAAGTTTCAGCCAAAATGTGTGAACTCGTTCTGAGAATGGGACCAGGGAATAACACCGTGTTCTGACATTTCAAAAACATCCAATGAGCTTTTCTAGGAGAAACTTCAGTGGCCTAAGCATTGGAGCAGAGACATGATATGAAGCAAAGGGTGACCTAGTGGCAGGGATGCGCCTTTTCCCTGGGAAAATCCACCCAACAACTGGCTAAGTGCTAAGCCTCTGAAAAGCTGTTGTTTGTGCACATGCGGGAGAGTTCTGAGAGTCCAGCAGCTTCACATTGCGCTCTGACTGTAACCCAATCTTAAATGCAGATTTTTGTGAGGGCATATTTTAACCTTTTGCACTATTAAGCAACCTAATGCTTCCTTCCCCTTAGATACAACAGTGTTTGGTTTTGGTGGGAACTGACCTGATATAGAAAAAGTTATTGATTCCTTTTCTTGGTCTACGTGGGTGTTTCTTAAGGAGCAGGACAAATTCTTCTTCGTATTTTCCGTTATAACGATGGAATTTTTTATTTTAAAGAAGCCACCTTCCTCTTCAGCCTTTGTTTCAGTCAATGCAGATAAAGGCTGCCCTTTGGAATCTCTCCACAGCACCTGGGGCTGTGGGTACCATCCGGCCGACTGACACACCACTCGGATCCCTCCGTCCTGGTGACCCGCAACAGAGATGCGAGGTGCGGAGCCTAGAGCTGGAATGAATCAGTGTTCAATGAGATACCTGTGCAGTCCAGTGTATAAAAGTTTACATTTTCAGTAAAATGACTGTCTACACTTCCTTCCTTGCTGATATTCATGAAAACTTGTCTGCAATGGAACTTAAGTGCTTGTTAAACCAGGGCTGGGGAATGATTTTGGGTTGGGGGCTGCACACTAGTGAGAAAAACCCCCCAAAACCCCCACTGTGTGGTCCCTCACTGAGGAAAAGTACACTGTCCACATTCCCCTTCGTACCTGAGTCTAAGGGGGCCCAGACTAGCAGATTTTGTGTGCTCCTGGGGCACCAGCATGGGCTCTTCCATGCTGGGGCAGGGAAAGGGAATCAGTGAGTCACAGAAGCCAGATCCAGACAAGGCTGGAGCTGAATCCGGGCCCCGGGGCTGAGGATCCCTGCCCCAAACATTTGCTTAACTGCGCTGCAGTCCTGGGGCCTCAGAGATGGAGGGGAAGTCTTTCAGAACACGTTACCAACAGCACTGCAGGTGATGGGAAAAGAGCAAGAAATGCAAGAGATTTCCCTCTTGGGTTCTGGTTTTTACGCTGTTGTAGGTATTTTTGGTTTGCTTATTGCCTTCTGGTGGGCAATGTGAGAATAGCCATTTCCCGTGAGTAGCCTCAAGGCTTCTCCAACCATGTTCCAGGAAGTTGTGGGCTGTGGGAAGAAACTGCTCAAGACAGAGGTTGATGAACATGTACCAGATTAAAAGATTCCCTTTTTCAGTTCTACCTGCTATTGGGTCACCATGTCCACTGATGGTAGGACAAGAAGTAATGGGTTGAATCTGCAGCATGGGAGATTTAGGCTAGATATTGGGAAAATCTTTCTAATAGGATAAACTCTGGAATGGGCTTCCAGCATTGTGGAATCCCTGTCATCGGAGGGTGTTTAGACCAGACCGGACAAATCTATCAGGAATGGTCGAGATTTATCTGGTCCTTGTGTCAACATAAAGGATTGGACTTGATGACTTCAAGACCTCTTTCAGCCCTACAGTTCTACCCTTCTGAATATTACATCAGTGATGAGAATAAAGTGAGACTAGCCAGAAGTTTTACACACTGTGTGTGTAAGTGAAAACCTTTACAAAAATGATAAACAATGGGTGCATATGGAAAAATGCGTCGTTTATCAGAGGGCTGTGATTTTGGGGCTACGTTCATTGCCATGCTGTGGAATAGCCTTGCCTGTGGTATCACTGATGAAAGAATTCAGAGACATCTGCTGGCAGAGTCCATCTTAGACCTTAAGAAAGCTGGGAATAGCACCAGGCATGGAAGTAGCTGCGGAGCACTTTGGGTTTACTCAGCGTTTCTTAAAGTGTGTTCCACGGCATAGAGGCAGCTGGAGGTGTGCTGCAGAGAACAGAGTTCAGAATGGCACCCTTCACAGGGCAATGCCTGAACAGATTTTAAAAGGCCAATGCCTGCTCTCTCTCTTTTTAACTTATTTTCCCTGTCCTTTTTTGTTTGTTTAGCTCAACAACTTTTCATTGGTTCTGGGGGTTTTTTTGGTCAACTACTTTTCCCTTGGGAATGGCCACCCTTAATAGGGCAAGCCTTTTTAAAAATCCTTGGTGTTCCCTATAAAAAAAATTGTTTGGTATTCCTCAGTCTTAAAAAGTTTAAGAAACGTTGGTTTACATGGAAGCTCCAAGCAGCACTAAGACAAAGTGTTGCAGGCACCTGAGACAAAATGCCCAGCTTTCCACTTTTACGTAAGCAGAGGTGCCTCCTTAAGAGCACAAAAGTTGCCTAAGATGTGGGAGGAAGCGTGACTGTCTCACCTGCCCATGCAAAGATATGGAAGGCAGGGTTTACCAGAAGCAAGGTCGTCCCGGCGCACACCTGGTCCCGGCACCAACCCGCTGCAGCTCTGCATTGTTAAGGGACTGGGAGCCAGTACGCAGGCAGGCTGGCTTAGTCTTCACTGAGCACTGGTTCCCCAGTTCACCAACTGTGCAGAGCCACAGCGAGGTTCTTGCTGGGACCTGGCGTGAGCTGAGACTGAGCAAGCCTGCCAGTGCGCTGGCACTCTAGGCCCCTAATAATTCAAAGCCACAGTGGGAAGCCCGGGATTGAGCCAGCCTTTTGGCCAGCCCATTAAAAAAATGTACTTACAGTGCTGAGACGAGAGGGCGAGAGAGAGAGAGTGTATGGCTACTGCTTATAAATTTGTAAATGGTCATTGGGCCAGAGAAAGCAACTGCGGGACAATGGTCAGGGAGGCTGGAGAACCCAGGTCCAGTCCCCCTACTCCACTGCCTATTTAATTATTTATCCTGACTGGATAAATAATCAAAGATCAACTAGAGCTGGGAGACTGGTCTTGGGGTCTCCCACTTCTGAGATGGGTGCTCCAACCACTGCACCACACAGTCTCTCTTTCTGTCCTAGTGTCTCCTTAATTTAATGATTATTTAAAGGACTTGGCTGGAGGTTACCAAAATTTTGTGCTGACGTGGGCATTAGGAACCTAACTACTTTTGTGGCCTGGGTCTACGAGCCAGCTAACAAGAGACGACAGACCCGTGTTACTGACCTGCGACCTTCAGCTCCAGTACAGCTTCATCATGAAAGTCTCCATCCCCAACAAAGCAGCGGTACTGTCCTTCGTCGGAGGGCCTGACCTCGATAATTTTCAAGTCAACAATCCCATCCGTGATGTCGGCTTTGGACAGCTTCGTCCTGTCACGATACTTGGCCATCTGCTGCCCAAACTCCTCCTCCCCGTGCCGGTACAGGTGCACAAAGGAAGTGAACTCATGTTGGAACCATCTCACCTCCATGTTCTCCACGCTCATGCTGGGCAACAGGCGGCAGGGTAACATGATGTCCCCACCTGCAATGGCCGTGACAGGGTGACCAGGCCCAACCACTGCGAACCGAGCTGCAAAATGCACCAGGACACAGAAAAAACAAATAAATAGAAGGAATTGAGTATCAATTTGATCAATCACACAAGATTCTACTTTATATATTTCCAGTTCTATGTCTCTACTGCAGGGCTCTGTCTTTTAATAGGATGTGTCCTGAATTGCGATATGATTTTTCCAACAAACAATGTATTTGAGTATCCATAATTGCATATCCATAATTAATATTTGTTTTAATCTGATTTGCCATTGTTTTTCCAAGCACCTCCAGACGGAATTAACTCGCATTAGCAAACAGTTACAATTGTTGCTTTCTGGTTTTGCAGTTTTTTTGACTGTTATAAAATATATAAACTAAGTGAAAAAACATAATTAAGGAAAGAACCTTTCCTCAGGAAAGGAGCTAAAACATGTGCTTTAGGAAACACTTAAATGCTTTCCTGAGCTGGGGCCTAAGGTTCCCAAATAAAGCCCCCGATATATTAGGAGCTGACAGATTTAAGAGGTTGCTCGAACTGTTTGATTTCTCCCCACTTGAGTGCACAGTTGTCTTCAGTTACGTGACCTCACTCTGTTTGCCTTGCCACAGTGCCCCAGCCTCCTTCACCACCTCCTCAGCTGGCAGGAGTGGGCAAGACAAGGTTTCCTACAGCCAGACACATGCTTGACTTGCTGCTCACTTTGCACTTAAGCCCTGCCAGCTCAGAGGGTGTCTCAGAGCTCATATTTCCCCTCCTCTCCCTCAGTTTTTAACAGTCAAGAGATAGGTGGCAGTGACCTTCAGTGAAAGCTTCGTTATTCAAATTCCTTTGTGCCCCCCACCACCCCACCAGTTCCAATAGAATCTGGGCCTCCAGTCTGGACTGCCTGGGTTTCTGAGAAGAGCACGGGTGTGTTAAGGAGGACACAGGAGGAAGGCCATATTGGGAACTCGGGTGGATGGAATGTGGTGGGTGTGACACCGGAAGAGCCGGTGCCAGGAATTAGCTAAGGACTCATAGCTGGAGACCTGACCCATTCACCGAGGTGTTAGTTTTGCTCAAAATCGCTTTTATTCTTATAAGAATGTATTTAGCATTTAGCCTGTGTGAAATGCTTGTAGGCTGCTGCAGGAATGAATCTCACTTGCAATGTTTGTATTTCATGCTATAAGAAAACATGTCACTTCTACTTTAGAACTTTGAAAATGTTTGCTCTGAACTTGTAATCCCAAGTACAGGAATTATTCATCCTCCTCCCCTCCCAATCCAGGAGATCAACATTTAAATGGGCCATGATAAGACAAATCTTTGTTAAGTGCCTTATCCACGATGTGCTGTCCCATTTTTTTGAGCGCTGGAAGAGGGCAATAATACAGCCGACCTGACGATTTTCCATGTCTTTGTGGTCTGAACTCTGAAAAGGCCAGGGAAACTAGACTGAAGCCAGAGATCCCCAGGGCTTCTCTCCTGTGTCCACCCTGAAGGACACTTGGAATGGGCAGATCTCTACAACTGTCACTCTTAGGAGCTAGCTGTTAACTCTCATGTATACATTTGCTTGCTTGGACCTGCACAAAATTCTTATTTCTTTTTCCTGCTTAATAGACCTTCCAGTAGCTTATGGCAGGATTGGCTGCAGGCGTTGTCTTTGTGATCTAGGGCAGCAGTGCACAACCTTTTTTGATCTACGACCCCTGTTCCGTGGGGGCCACCAATGGCCAGGCCCAGTCCCCGGCTGGTCAGATCTTGGCGCTGTGCCGCGGGGATGGCCAACTGCTAGGCCCAGCCACCAGCCTGCATGATCTAAACACCATGCCGCATGGCTGCACCGAGCCCCTGACCAGCTGGATCTAAACACCGCGACCCCCTGGGAAGACATCCACGACACCCTTGGGGGTCGTGACCCATGGGTTGCGCACCACTGATCTAGGGTACAAACTGATCTAGGTAAGTGACTGGTCTCTTGGGACAGGAAGCAACCTGAATGTGGTGTGATTAGTGATGTACGTGACCAGTTGTCAACATGATGCAAATCCTTCCCAGCAGCCACACATCACACCTCAGACACACTCACCCAGGAACCTGCCCTTCTAATAAACTCCATTGCCAATTCTGTTCACACATCTATACACATGACACGATCACAGGACCTAACCACATTAGCCACCATATCAGAGGCTCATGCAACTGCACATCCATCAGTGTGACCTAGGCCATTAAGTACCAGCAATTCTCTTTGACCATGGATATTGGCGAAACTGGGCAGTCTCTGCACAAGAGGGTAAATAGACACTAGTCAGACATCAGAAATGGTAACACACAGAAGCCTGTAGAGGAACACTGTAACCTGCCTGGGCACTCAATCATGCATGCAAATGTCACCATTCTTCTAAAAGGAATTTCACTAACCAGTTACAGAGAGCCTGAAGAACTGGAATTTATCATCAGATTTGACACCATTCCCCTGGGCCCAAACAAAAACATTAACATTAACACTACAAAGCTAATTTCTCCTGCAATGAATATCTGCATTTCCGTATAAAAAAACCATGTATGGGACACATCCAGTCCACTTAATTAGCCTCATTAAAACAGGTCCTATAATTGAGGGGTACTTCTGCTGTTAAATAAATATCTTGGCTTTTGTTATTTCCACTCCAAATCACGAGTCTATATATTTTGGTTAGTCTTGAGGTGCCACAGGACCACTCGCTGTTTTTAATAAATCAAAGCAAATCAATAAATCATGCAAGAAGCAGCCGAATGCACGGACATTCCTACCTGATTCCAGCTTGTGAACATAAAACATTATGAAGAAAATGATAAACTCAGGCAGAGAGGAGCTGGCTGTGGAGCAGTGGCAGATGGAGAGAACTTTCATTTCACCGGAACTTGATCCAGACAACAGGAGCAGAGAGAGAAACGAAAAAGAATGTATTGACTGTAACAGTGTCAATGATGTAAGGCAACCTGGATACAGAGAAAATAGAAAATTATCACCAGGATACATTACTGGCCAAGAGAAAAGTTCTTAGAATCATGGAATCATAGCGCTAGGATTGCAAGATGGTTTCAATAAAAATACTAGACACATTTGACATTCCATCACAATCGACATTACATCGTATTTAGAAAATATGGGTCATTTCTATTGTCTCACTTTGTTTCCCGAACAGAAAGCTCAAATACTGGACTGTCCAGTTCAAACCCGGACACCTGGCAACCCTACATAGCGCACTAGAATTGGAAGGTACCTTGAGAGATTGACTCCAGCCCCCTGCCTTCACGGCCTGACTCAACTTGTCTTTAGGCACTTCTGCATTCCTCCTTTGAAATGTACAGGAGCCCGTTGGGCCAGTGGGAAGTTGTTGTTATTTACTTGTGATCTTTATCAAGCTGCATATTGATGGAAATTGGAATTCAATTACAACTGCAAACTAAGAAACAACAAAAGAACAATGTTCCCTCCAAAATTATTTTTTTATTTGTTAAATAAAACGTCTTTGAATGGGATGGATATTGAAAAAAAAGTAAGCTTATCAAAGCAAGTTTTGTGTTTAAAAGTGGATCTGTTTAACAGAAGAATTATCATCTATAGTTAGTGAACTGAAGTTAGTTGTGCCCACCAAAACTCATTAGACCATCTAGACCAGTGGTCCCCAACGCGGTGTCTGTGGGCGCCATGGCACCCGCTGGGGCATTTATGTGCGCCCACCTAGTGACCAGGGCTGGCCCGAGCCATTCTTGTCCCCCGGGCTCCGGGCGCCCGGCAGCCTCAAAAGGTTGGGGACCACTGATCTACACTTTTTATCAGAGGGATAGCCGTGTTATTCTGAATCTGCAAAAGTGACGAGAAGTTCTGTGGAACCTTGTAGACTAACAGTATAAGCTCTCGTGGGCAAAGACCCACTTCGTCAGATGCATATGATGGAAATTCCAAAGGCAAATATAAATATACAGGCATGAGAAAAGAGTACCACTCAAGAGTAAGATAATGAGGTCAATTTAATCAGGGAGGATGAAGCCCACTTCTAACAGCTGATCTGAAGGTGTGAACACCAGGAGAGGAGAAGCTGCTTTTGTAGCTGACTAGCCATTCACAGTCTTTGTTTAACCCTAAACTGATGGTGTCGAATTTGCAGATGAACTGTAGCTCAGCAGTTTCTCTTTGAAGTCTGTTTCTGAAGTTTTTTTGCTGCAGGATGGCTACTTTTAAATCTGCTACGGTGTGTGCAGGGAGATTGAAGTATATTCCTCAGAAACAACTCTGACATTATAATCAAAGAGGCTGATAAAGGAGGTGCTGTTGTCCTCATGAATAGGTCTGACTACCAAAAGGAGGCTGCCAGACAGCTCTCCAATGTCACATTCTACAAGCCACTTTCCTCTGATCCCACTGAGGAATACACTAAGAAACTGCACCATCTGCTCAGGACACTCCCTACACACAACTGAAAACAAATCTACACAGACATACCCTTAGAGCTCTGACCGGGGTTATTCTATCTACTACCCAAGATCCACAAACCTGGAAATCCTGGATGCCCCATCATCTCGGGCATTGGCACTCTCACTGCAGGACTGTCTGGATATGTGGAGTCTCTACTCAGATCCTACACCACCAGCACTCCCAGCTATCTCCAATACACCACTGATTTCCTGAGAAAACTACAATGCGTTGATGATCTTCCAGAAAACACCATCCTCACCACCATGGATGTAGAGGCTCTCTACACCAACATCCCACACATGGATTGAATACAAGCTGTCAAGAACAGCATTCCCTGATGATGCCACAGCACAACTCGTGGCTGAGCTCTGTGACTTTATCCTCACACACAACTATTTCAGATATGGTGACAGTATGTACCTCCAGACCAGTGGCACCACAATACACCAACATTTTTATGGCTGACCAGGAACAACGCTTCCTCAGCTCTAGTCCACTAATGCCCCTTCTCAACCTATGCTACACTGATGACATATTCATCATCTGGACCTATGGGAAGGAGACTCTGGAGGAATTTCACCACGATTTCAACAGCTTCCACCCCACCATCAACGTCAGAATGGACCAGTCTGCACAAGAGATCCACTTCCTGGATGCTACGGTGCAAATAGGTGATGGTCACATAAACACCACCCTATACCGAAAACCTACCGACCACTATGCCTACCTTCATACGTTCAGCTTCCATCCCGGACACACCACACGATCCATTGTCTACAGCCAAGCACTAAGGTACAACCCCTCAGACAGAAACCAACACCTACAAGATCTTCACCAAGCATTCTTGAAACTACAATACCCGCCCAAAGTGAGGAAACAGATTAACAGAGCCAGGCATGTACCCAGAAGCTTCCTACTACGAGACAAGCCCAACAAAGAAACCTACAGAACACCACTGGCCATCACCTACAATCCTCAGCTAAAACATCTCCAACGCATCATCAGTGATCTACAACCTATCCTGGACAATGATCCCTCACTGTGTATGTCTGTGTCACAGGCCTTGGGAGGCAGGCCAGTCCTCACCCACGACAACCCAACAACCTGAAGCAAATTCTCACCAGAAACTATACACCGCATCATAGTAACTCGAACTCGGGAACCAATCCCTGCAACAAACCTCGGTGCCAAATCTGCCCACATATCTACAGCAGCAACACCATCACAGGACCTGAGCAGACCAGCCACACCATCATGGGTTCATTCACCTGCACTTCCTACTACGAGACAAGCCCAACAAAGAAACCTACAGAACACCACTGGCCATCACCTACAATCCTCAGCTAAAACATCTCCAACGCATCATCAGTGATCTACAACCTATCCTGGACAATGATCCCTCACTGTGTATGTCTGTGTCACAGGCCTTGGGAGGCAGGCCAGTCCTCACCCACGACAACCCAACAACCTGAAGCAAATTCTCACCAGAAACTATACACCGCATCATAGTAACTCGAACTCGGGAACCAATCCCTGCAACAAACCTCGGTGCCAAATCTGCCCACATATCTACAGCAGCAACACCATCACAGGACCTGAGCAGACCAGCCACACCATCATGGGTTCATTCACCTGCACATCTACCAATGTAATATACACCACCGTGTGCCAGCAATGCCCCTTGCTAGATACATCAGCCAAACTGGAGAGTCCCTACGTAAAAGAATAAATGGACACAAATCAGATATTAGGAATGGCAACATACAAAAAGCTGTAGGAGAACCCTTCAATCTCCCTGGACACACAGTAGCAGATCTAAAGGTAGCCATTCTGCAGCAAAAAAACTTCAAGACCAGACTCCAAAGAGAAACTGCTGAGCTACAATTCAACTACAAATTTGACACCGTCATCTCAGGATTAAACAAAGACTGTGACTGGCTAGCCAACTACAAAAGCAGCTTCTCCTCCCTTGGTGTTCACACCTCCACATCAGCTACTAGAAGTGGGCCTCATCCTCCCTGACTGAATTGACCTCATTATCTCCAGCCTGACTCTTGATTGGTGCTCTTTTCTCATGCCTCTTTAATTTTCACTACATGCATCTGATGAAGTGGGTCTTTGTCCAGGAAACCTTATGCTCCAATACATGTGTTAGTCTATAAGGTGCCACAGGACTCCTTGTTACTTGTACACTTTTTGATAGTCTCTAAGGCACAGCAGGACCATTTCTTGTTTGCTTATGGTCATCCCAAACTTCAGGCTTTTAGAACTGGTAGAGTTCATCCTCCCAGGCCTGACTTGTTAGATAGAGATTGGAAGAGGGTAAAAAGCCAGCATCTCAGCTCTGAGTGAACTAATCATTGAACTGAGCTAGTTCAATACACTGAAATGAAGGACATGCTCTTTCTGCATCTCATAAGAAGCTATTGATGTCAAAAGCTGGTTTAGAAATTTTGTCAAACTCTGGTTCTCTAAGTGGAAGGATAAGGCAAGTGTAAGAGACAAGAATGGTGGCTGTTTAACAGAAAGACTGTCTAATAATTTTCCCATTCCCACTTGTAAGTATCAGGCACAACAGGATTCATCTCCCTCTCCCTCCCCCTCCCTTTCTGATTTCCAAACACCAGGATTCATTTTGTGACAAGTTCCCTCTGACACCTCTGAGAACAGGGCCAGAGCCCGCAGTGTGGAATGAAACACAATTGCACAAGAAGCAATTGCCTTGGGCCCTGCAGGCGCTGCCGAGCTCAGGATACAAGGGCAGGGAGAGGAGCAGACAGGCCTGGGAAGGGGAATCATTTCGAAGGCTGGTCGTGGACAGTTTCCACATCGAGGAAACTAAATATCAGCCAGAGGATCGACTCTTGGGGACAAACATCAGGGGCGGAGCCGCCTGAGTCTGTATCAGGCAGAACAAGGAGTCGTCCCGGGACCCTGTAAAGACTCACACATGTATCTGGGGGTTCAGTGGGGTGAGACAAGCTCCATCTGCCGGGACAAACAGGACACAGGGCGGGAGGGGCTGCGAGCGAGGAGCCATTTCTGAAGCAAAACTGACCCACCTCTTTGGTCCCGCTGAGCGGTGGGATGAACTTCGGGGGGCTTGTACCGCCCAGGGACGCTGTAGGGGGCTCCGTTCCCTGCGGCAGCGCGTTCCCCTGGTTTCTCCTGGCCCTGGGTTAAAGGCACCGCGGCGCGCGCCCTTCCCGGCCCGGCGGCTGCAGCATTTGCGCAC